GGGGTTTTTTTTCCCCCCCCCCCCCACTCCTGCTTCTCAGTGAGACGTGCCTTGTAAACATGTTTAGGAAATAATCTTAGAAATGGTTTGTTTGGAAAATAGTGTAGTTTGACAGCTACTTGGTCTCAAATTCATGCGTAGACCCAGTTTTAAGGAACTGGTGGGTTCTTCTTGCTGTTCTGATGATTGTAGACAGAGATTTTAAAACATCAGATCAAATCTTAAGCTTCAAAAGGCTCTGATACTGGGAAAATATATCTGCTTAACTTCACCCAGGGAAATACTCCTATGGGACAAGCTGAGAAAGTTTGTAGGACCGAGGCCTAAATCCTATGTTTCCAGAGAAAACCAAGCTGATCATTTTTGTCACCAACATGACTGAAAATGTCCTTAGATCTTTTGTTTTAAACGTCCCATTGCAAGAAAATTAAACAGTTTGGGAGGGAAGAGGTGAAAACTTAGTCCTGCTTTGCAGAACTCTGTGCCTGCTCCTGTCTTGTTTTTGCAGCATGTCTGGCTCATCTTTCTGTTTCAGTGAGTTTAAGTTGCTGTTGCGTGTTTAAAATTTAGTAGTACTCGTCATGAAAATTAGATAAGATTTGTATTTTAGATTAGTTGTTAGCTCAGCGTAGAAATAAATGTGTCGACGTCTACTGCAAAATCAACCCACCCTCCAACCACAGACACTCCAGTCATTAAAAGTGTATTTCCTTCATTTAAGTATAGAGAAAACTACTTGTTTTTCACAAACAATTTCAAATAATCTTATAATCAGTAAGCAAACATGCACTCTAGCAAGTACCCCCAAGTGGCAGTAAACCATGTCAGGTTAAAACAGTAAGAAGCCTATGTCACTTTTTGGGGCGGGAGGGATTGGTTGAAGTAATTAATTTTTCAATAAAAAGAAGAGTATGTGGGAGCCTTTGCCTATGTGAAAACATAATTTAAAGCCATGGGGCAATATTACTAGTATTGTTGTTAAGAGGTTTCTCTCATGTGCCTTAGTAATTTAAAGTTAATAAAGTTGTGTCCTCTGGCAAGTTTATAGGAAAATGACTTGTTGGATCATTTTGACATAAATTGTCTTTCTCTTGAAAAGCAGAAACGCTGTGCTGTTACATCAGGTAAACAAGCAAAAAAGAGAGGCTTAAGTCACTGTAAATCGTCTACCTAGTTTAAATTTAACTTTGCCTAATATTGTAGCGGGGGATGATACTTGGTTAAGATGACGACGACGCACTGGAAATCCGAAGTATAATATGACTGAAAATCAGAGTCCAGCTTGATTGTTCATACAAAGCATTTTTAAATAGGCAGCAAGCAATATTGTGTGCTATATATCATCCTGAATAAAAACATACCTTTTTTCTTAATAGATCCCAAAGAATGTTTATTTCCCCCCCTTGAGAATAAAGATTTCTTTTTGTGTGGGTCGAAGCCATCTTTGGAATTATATTTTTAATGTGCACTTATCCAGTTTTCCATGCGCTGACCCTGTATCAAAAAGGAAGCATTAAAAAGAAATGTGAAAACCTCGAACTTTTATCAACTCTTGACTTTGAAAAATAAACACGTGGTTTTGGGTCAGTGTCTACCACAATTTATGGTGGGTGTTCAGGAAATTAGTATTTTGACAGTGCACTCATTGACTCACTTAAGACAAGTTGGTTGGCTGAGATCTGTCTAATTCTGGAAATTTTTTCTAAGCAAAACTGTAGCATCAGACAGAATAACAGCCATACATTTTCCTGCTCAATAGATTTCTTGGTGTAGCGGATACCATTTTCAAAGGGTTTGGGCATGATCTTGCAATTTTTATTCATGTGAGTAGTTCCCCTGCAGGCCCTTCATGTAATCTTTGTCATACAATTTGGTACATGAATGCTCACGTTAATAGCTTTAGATTGTTTGTTCTGGTATTTGATGTACTGAGCTTTACTATTTTTTTATTAGGCTTGTGGAGATTGAAGTACAGTGAATTCTTTGTATGGGATTATTCCTTCTAGTTCTCTACTCATGTGAGAAATCCTTATTAGCATGTGCAGGCCCAGTGATGTCAGAGCTTCCGAATCAGCTCATCACTAACCAGTTAAACGGCCTTTTGTAAATAATCACTTAAAAATATATATTGTATGTGTTTATAGTAATCTTTGATTAGGACTCAATACTGGTAATATCACCATATGCGTGCCAATAACTCTGGATTGCTTGTCTTTGGAACAGCTGTCTTAAGTTTCAAATGTATTTTTTGTTTGCAAGCAAACAGACTAAACAGTGTCATAACAGCATATAAACATTTTAGTTCATGCTCATTAGATTTCGGAAAGATACATGGGCACTGAATGTTTTATCTGAAGTAATAAAAAGTACTTGGATCTTTGCATTCATGGGAATTAGAAAATAGAAAAGCCTTAGCTGCTGATGTTCATAAATATTTATTAACACCACCAGCTAAGCAGCACAGCTAAAGGTGGGGTGGGGCACAATGGCTTTTACATGTTCTATGAAGTTGATGCCTTTGGTCCCTTGGGAAAGCTTTCAAGTTGAACTGTATATTGTCACAAGAGTGCACCCTACAGGCAGAAAAGAAAGAAGCAACATTTACAACAGAAGACTACGAAAAGCGAGAAAAGGAAGAACTAAAATAATGATTGCATCTTCTCAAGAAATGCTTTTAACAAAAAAGAAGTGTCAGGAGATGTAGGTGCTTGAAGTATAGCAACATTATTTCTTGAATCCATGAATTAATTTGTAATACTTGTAGGACTGCAGACTTCTTATGCAGAGGACTTGAATGAAGCACTGTGCTAACACGTGAAAAGTCCCCAGCACCTACTGTGGTTCCAAACAATAAATGAAACCAATCTAAAACGCTGTACAATAAATCAAGTGGAATAATCGCCTCTCCTGTTAGACTGCATTGCGCCTGCTTAAAAGGCAGCTCCCCCACAGTGAGGCTTATTTAAAAACAATCTTGGTGATTTAATTAGCTAGGTATGACACCTACATGAGCATTCACGTGTGGGTTGAATATCAAGGGAAATGCAGTGCCTTCAGCAGCTCTCCATTTCAACTGTTCAAGTATTCACTTCAGAAAGGAAACAAGGGGGGAGGCAGCCCACAATGGTCTCATTGACTTTAAAATGCAGAAATCTCTGTTCTAGTCCTGAACAAGTCTATTGAGCTAACAGAGTTCAATAGCAGGTGAACCTGTATTTTACTAGAGCTGAGCTACCATCCCCCCACGCCATCCATAATATGACTGTATGCAGCCTGGGGACAACTTCAAGTCTATGGTGCTAATCCAATCAAGTAAAAATGTCTGAAATAAAATATGAATTTGTAGATGATATGGTGAGCCTTACTGTTTCTCTCTGATCCTTTGTTAGCCTTGCACCAATTCAGTCACCCATTGGAATGTCATTATGCTGTCAGTCACACCGGGAACATTTCTCTGTTTCAATCCCCCTGGCTTTGTAATGCTGCTGCCAGTTTCGCTGGAGAAAACGCCAAACTAATGTCATTTAGGTTACATAGTATCCTGCAGGAGATAAAAGATTACTCAAGGTTCCTCTGTTAAATACAGAGTTTTAAGTGTCAATCCTCCCAAATGCTTCAAGCTATGGGAAGTTCCCTATCCTCTAATTAATATACTTTTTTTTTTTGCCGGGGGGGGGGGGGGCTACCAGTGTTGCTTGGGACCAAAAGTGCACTGAGACTGTTTCAGTTCCTGAAAGGAAGTGTGTGTGTTTGTGTGTGTGTGTGTGTGTTCATGTAGAGGGGAGAAACATGTTTATAGCAGCTGGGAGCAGCTGTAAAATGCCTCCTAAAGCAGTTTCCCAGTCACTATGCCTCCAGCCCCTGTTCACACGAAGGGTTTGAAATTAAATCTGAGTCTGGGGGACTGTGGAGTTTGGCCTCTATTGTGAGGTTGTATGATGACCTGAAGGTCCCCAGGGTCTCATGGGCAACATGGTTTAGAGGAGCAGAGTGGGAGTCATTTGCAACTCTGAGTGACCAGAGAAGCATATATTTTGGGGAGGAGTATAAATTGGGCAGCAAGGGAAATGTTATAAAAAGTCCTAGTGCAATTAATGGAAAGTGGGAACAGTTCAGATTATGCCAGATGGCCCAACCATCATGAGAAAAGTACTATGGACAGAGCAAACCACTTGATAGAGACAGCAAAAGTCCTCTTTCCCCTAAAGGGAAGATGCCTTTAGAACTGGAAGCCACAACCACCATCAGTCAAATTGCTGTGCTTGGTAGTGGAGTCTTAAACATTTCCTCAGGGCAGATGTGATTTTTTTTTTCCCCCCCTCCCCTCTTGTTACCACGGCTCAGCTGACAAAGTCTTTGGTTTCTAGTTGATGTGTG